CTAAAAATATCGTAGAAGAATTTAGAAAAATAATTATATATATTATTTAATAAATAATATGTCAAAATTATTCTAAAATATATAGGACCTATAGCTTATATAGCTAATATAAGGCCTTTTAGATGCTGAGAAAGGCTCATTTTTTGAGGCCCTCGGTGGATTAAAAAACAGAAAAAAGTTAAAAAAAAATCGTATGCTTTTAAATAAAATTTGATGAGAAATTAATTTGTAATATTTGTTTCGAGGCCCCTCATAAATTTAAGGCCTGTATCGAACGACCTTTATCTATCTTAGAGTTCTCAAATCTTGTTAAAGGATTTTTAGAATAAAATATAAGAAAAAAGTCAGAAAATATAATAAATATTATTTAGAAATATAGTCTTAAAAATTATTTTTTAAACAAAAATCCATTTATCCAAGATCCAACAAAAATCCAAGATAAATGATGAAGTTTACAAGAATATAAATACACTAAAAATCTGTAAAGTTTATACTTAGAGTAAAATTAATATAAATTTATTATAAATTCGGGTTGCATATAACCATATAAAACGGAACTATAAGTTAGCATTAATTTTAATTATACATTAATTCAATTAAACTGACTAAAACCATTGCAATAATATAGAAATGTATTTATAAGTTATAGGAACTAAATGATATTAGAAACCGTTATAAATCTATGTATATTGTTTGATAAATTTATAATTTAAGTATTAATATAACAAGGATAACTAATATTGCTCGTTTATGTTCGATTATTATTCATATATTGAACATTTCCATGAATTAATAATAAGTAAAGGTTACCGTTTGGGAATTCAATATGCCTTTAAATTCTCAAAGCAATATAATCAACTTAATGAGTAATTAACACATTTTAAATAATTGGAATTGTCTCCTTTCCTCACTTTTTATCACTAACTGCAATTATTTTAGTTATTTTAGTGATTAGTGAGCTTTACTTTCACCTTAAATAATTATTAAATTTAATATTAGTGGAGGTAAATTGAGAGTATTTGGGATCAAAATAGATAATATATACAGTACATCATTTTATAAGAGTTAATTATTTGTATAAGGTAGCTTAAGTTTAAGGATGAAGATGAAGATAAATGTATTGATATCATTTTCGTCTTCCCCGTTTTGTGTTGGGCCAGATTGGTTTAATCCTTTCATCCTTTCCTATTTTCCTATTATTCTCTTTCATGTAACATCTTTATGTTTCTTTCCCATTCTTTCCAAGTTTTTTTAAGTCGATCTCTTCATCTCTTCCTGCTTTTTCCTCTCGATCCTTTGCCTACAATTTTCTTAATTTCAGATATTTTATAAGAAAAGTTATTTATCTATTTATTCATTTGTTAAATATAATTACGATTTACATTATTAATTAAAATATTATACATTTTAATTGATTATTTTTAGTATATTGCCCTTTTATTCTATACTTAAGTAGCATTATTAATCTCTAAATTTAAAGAAACTTTTAAGAATATTCTCTATTAGATTTATTATATTTTATTTTTATAATTAATTTTAATCTTTTGATTATTAAACTGAACAATATTAATTAAATTATGGCTTTATCTTAAGAAAATATCGACGAAACGTTCTATTAAAGATGCTGCATACTCTGAACATTATAAACATAGAATAATGCATGTTAATAAATTGAACAGGATAAACAATTTACGTTATTTCTTCCATATTTATAAGGCTCTAACTAATATTTGAATTCCAAACAATCTCTCCATTCATCACAAATATTGAATACTTGATTATATATGAACTAACTTTCATGGTAACTTCTCTATACATAAATTATGCAAAGATGCTTAACCGAAACTTTTGGAATTATACATAAGAACTATAATTTAAGAAATCTCGAGCTTAATTTTAAAAAATTTATAAAAGAGGCCTTAAAAATCAAAGTCTACAGATGAGGCCTTAAAAAGTTGTTATACTTTTTAAGGCCTCATCTGTAGACTTTGATATAAATTTATATATAAATGCTAATGACAGAGAGAATTTCACTTGAGAAAAATGCCTCTTATAATTTTATAATTGCTTATTTTAATAATTAATCTATTCTATTGGGTCTTAGTGATAATTTTAAATCTGTAAATTAAAATTAATTTTCTTTTTATAACTAAAAAAGACTGATATAAGGATAATAGACAACTTCATATCCGATTTTTTTGACTTTTTCTATGGTTTTTATTCTTTACAGAATTAATCTTTTCATTAGAAAAAGCGATCCAATGCTTCTCACTTTACCTTATCAGTCAACAAATCGTGTTCTTTTACACCTGACTACTCATTAGATATCGAAGATAAGATTATTTTACATGTAGTCGACACATCGTTTCATATACTCAACGCTTGCATCGGTTATTTAGAAAATTTATGGAATTTCCCTTAATAATTTATAAAAAGTTATATTTGAAAGAAAAATATAAACATATTATATTTATTATTGTGTTATAAACAGAAAAAGATATACTTTATATGAAAAAATACGTAAAAATTTACATAAATATATTATGTAATAGAATAGTTTTCAATGTCGTGTTATCAAGTTCCAGTCCGCATTAAAAACATATTTAATTTTTATATATAAATTAAAACGGAAGTGTCTTGCAACTTCGCTCTCTTTATTTTTATATTAAACGGAACTTCATTTATTAAAATCGATAAATATATTCATACGATGATTTTCTTCCTGTGAGACTATATAGTGGATGCTTAAACATCTCAAAGAAGGTCGTGAGTTAGGTTCGTACTATTTAAACATGCTTTCCTATGTAGAATTCTACGTATTATTTTGACTAGAATTGAGATTCATACGCAACGATTTAAAAATTATAAGAAAAATGTTTAATTTTTTAAATTTCTTATCTGTTTAAATTCATTTCCAAACCAATAGTTCGCGATCTACGAATAAAATCACGTCTTTCAGTATGCTAAATGAAGCATTTACCAACTAAACAAAGGTTGGAGAATAAAGATTTTAAATGTTATTTCTATACAGAATCACTATATTCATGTTTATAGTGTAATTTTGATTATTTAAGAAGAATTTTTTAAATTACAGTCACGTTTAATCATAATTAATTTGTCGTATAAACGTATATTAAATTATGATGAGTTATGATGACATTTATACGTTCAATGTTAGATATATACATATATATTTGGTTAAATTTATATTAAATCACGTTTATCAATTAATTCAAAAGATGAAATTTAGCGAAACTCTTGTCATTTGCTTATAAAAGCGAGAATCAAGAAGTATCTTCCTATTAATTATCAATACAATTTGCATCTTATTATTATTAAAAATAATAAAGTGAATAATTAAAAAGACAAATTCTNTTTATAGAAAATTTTTCGTCTTTTCCTCTTCTATTAACTAAATGGAAGATAGAATTTTTCTTCTTCCTCTTCTTCCATCATCTAATGGAAGAAGAGGAAGAAGTAAAATTTTTCATCCTCTATCTAAATTCCATCTTCTTCCTAGTTGATGGAAGAAGAAGATAGCAAAAATGTCGTTATTTCTATGTAGTATTTATATATAGATTATATATAGAAGTATGATCTATTTTATAGGTCTATATAAGTTTCTGCTGTTAATAAGTCTTCTCCAGGTTATCCTACCTCTTCCTTGCTCCGATATCTTTCACTATTTCTTCCAATTGTATACTCAAATGTTTTTCTTCACTGTCTCACTTTCCTCTTTTAATGGTTTTCTTCTCACTGATATTTTTATAAAAATCTCACTAGCAAATAAATCTAGGATAAATCTAATATTTTTAGATTTAAATTTATTAATTTAATGAATAATTTTTGAAATTCTCTTAACAATTTGGTGTTTTTGCCATGTTTATTAAAAATCTAAAATAGTCATTATCTAAGAATTTGCATTCGAAATGAGGACATAAATGGCTTCTAAATTTGATTACTGTATAGAATTGACAAAGTACTCGCTATACAATAAATTAAAATCTTCGATTTAATAAGTCTTCTTCTTCAAGAACGAATAAAGAGAAACTAAATCTTTTATGTTGGTTATGTATAGAATCGATTTGAGATTGTTTAATTTTACCTTTCAATAGTAAATCAATATAAAGAGATTCTATAGAATTCAATTTATCTCTAAGGATATTGAATGTTTGTTGTATAATTCTCCGAATCATTAATTTTCTTAGCCATCCGGAAAATTAATCTTTTCAAATTTCTCTTCTTTCAAATTAAAAAAATAAAATAAAATTCTTAATATTGAAACATCTCTTTATATTTAGAGGATGTTGCATTAGTTTTACTTATCTCCAACATCACGTTTCGAATTTGTTTATTATCAAACTAATGACATGTAAAATGATTTTTTAAATTTAATTAGAAAACTGAAATTAAATTTGAGATTTATCATGTGATTTAAGGCATTTCAATGTACGATTTATCTAAATAATATACCTCTTTTTGTTAGATTTCAAATTAATATATTTATCTGAATTCTCAGATATGGAAATTTTTGTATCTTGAGAATTCAGTAAGCTATAATTATTGAATATTCAATTGAATTTTCTTTATCTCATGATATTAATAATAAATTTATTTTAAGAAGTTAAAGATTAGTGGACTGCCAACAATTGATATTGTGTAGAATACAGAGAATGGTTTAGATTGGTTTGAAGATTACTTTAAAATTAATTGTTATTAGCTAATATGCAAATTTTAGTAATAATATAAGAGATAGTGTGCTTCAATTATTGTTAAATTATCATTTTACAAGTATCTCAGCTATACAAACATGATAACTTATGAAAGATCATCTTGTTATTCTGATACAAAACTAGTTAAAATGGAATATTTAGAATAAACTGGATATTTAGATGAGATTTTTTAAAATTTAATTATATTTGTATTTATTTTATTAAAAATAATTTATTTTTTACTCTTAAAGTCTTTACAAACTTACTTTGTATATATTTATATATTCACTAATTAATGATTGATGAATTAGTGGATGATTTAATTAAACTTTGTGTAGTAAATTTGGGAAATATTAACGTTTCTTTGTGTTATTTAATTAAAAATAAGGGTTTTTGGGTAAAGATTGGTTATAAATTAATTGGAAATGTATAGAAATGATGCATTTCTTCCACAACTAGTAGGCCATTCCTGTAAGGATATCATTAGAGGTCCTCTAATAAAACATTTCTTATCCAGTAGATATTTGTTTCAAAATTGGTTTCAGTCAGTAGGTTCTTCTGAAGGATGGCCTTATTTAATACCATAAATTAGCTGGAAGTATTGGATTATAGGTTAATGCATTGTTTCTCCAACTAATAAGTCATTCCTGTAAGGTTTAGAGGCTCTATATAATTAGAATTCCTTTAAGAAATGGCTCTATTCTTGCTTTAAAATGGTGCCAGTCAGCAAGTATTTTTAATAAATCACCCTATTTAATACTATAAATTAATTGAAAGTGTTGGATTATAGGAATAATACATTGCTTCCGCTGTAAGTAGGTCATTCCTCTAAGGCTACGTTCCTCAATCACTAGGGTTCCTTTAAGAAACGGATCTTTATCCTTGCTTTACAAATGGTTCTAGTCAGCGAATGTCTCTGAAAGATTACTCTATTTGATGCTCCAAACATAAAAATCATTCTTACAATCCATTGGTTAAGATGCTCTTGAGAAATACTTAATAATGCTAATTTGAAAAAAAGGTCTTTAAAAAGTTGGTTTAACAAAAAGAATTGCTACTTTAAACGATTGTTGTTTTAAAAAAAGAGGGTTTCAGTGGTTATTTTAAGGAAGAGTTCTTTATCTGATCGATCATTCCTGTAAAAAAAGTGTTTTTAATCCACAAATTTTTTTAGCAAAAATTATGCTTATGAAAGTATTTCTGACCATTTCTAAGAAAAGTTAACTTAAAAGTGTGTGTCGTTTTCTTTAAGAAAAGTCTCTAAATACAGGTTCATTCGGTTGAAAGTATTTCTTAATCGTTGGAGCTTTCCATTAAGAAAGAATAAACCAATCAGTGGGTAATTCTCGATGTATTTTTCTGTTATATCACATTTTTCTCGGTAAAGTTTTTTTCCATATTTGACCGCTTTTTTTAGCAAATAATAATAACTAAAATTATAAAAGGCTTTAATATTGTTTCCATCTTAAATATATACAAACATAAACCAAATTTATTCTCATTATATTCAACTATTACAGATAGAGGACCAATGTTTAGGACCAATCAATTCAGGACCAAAAGTCGTCCTTATCCGTGGCCAAAGGGCAGTCATAGCTCGAGATCTTCCAATGTATCTCAGCGTTTTAACAGATTATCACTTCATAGTACATCTTCCTTTTTGGTACAATCCAGTACAAAACAATACATTCTATTTCGGAAACGGTAAGTACCGTACATCGGAAATTTCGTATACGAAAATGCCACAAATTATCTAAAAAAATTCATTAAACAGATCGAGATACAGAAGTAGAAGATCCAAGAAATTGGCATCTCTTCTTATGTCTAACGTTCACAGAACGAGAAACTAAACCGTGTTTAGGAAGAGAAGAATATTCTAAACTCCACACTTATCATAAAGTGAGCATAAATATGTAATTTTTTTATTCATTTTTTTCAATTTATACACGATCATTTTTCCTATCGCAAATTCAATTTTAAATAATATTTCTTTAAACAAAACAGGTGAACAGATTCCCAGGACTTCGAGGTATCTTATGGAAGAGGGATTCTCTATGTTATACTTTTTCCAAAGCTAGACTCATTCCAGGTTAGTTTATAAAGGAAAAAAAGAGGATAATTATGAATGAAATTCCCAGCTTACGAGTGAGTTTATGTCTTCTAAACATTCATTAGTTTTACGTGTGAGAAGTGTCATACTAATCAATAGGCCACAATAATCCGTGTCAAGAGATATTTCACTACTAATTAATATTCTAGTAAAGCCAGAACCTGGAAGTAGTAGCAATTTTCCAGTGATCGATCTGACCGTTAGATATAATGTTCCTGGTTACAATGAAAAGCATTGCCTCCAGCTTAATGGCTGCTATACCTTTCACTCGCTAACTCTCACCATGTGACCAAATGTAAACATCAACTAATAAAGTTTGAGTAAATATTTTTATACATGCATGATCTCAATAGCATAGTCTAATGGAAAGTCATTTTCTAATCGTGATTCATTAAGCAACTCCTCTTCTATTCTAATGAATAATCGACCGAAAAGAATGAATTTTAAAGTTATTTTTCGACGTGAAAAAATAAATATTTATACATTTTTAAATAATACATTTAATATTTTATCGATTTAAATTAATTTTTAAGTACTTTTTTTATNGAAAGATCATCTTGTTATTCTGATACAAAACTAGTTAAAATGGAATATTTAGAATAAACTGGATATTTAGATGAGATTTTTTAAAATTTAATTATATTTTGTCCATGAAAAATTAATCGAAAATCATACAAAATAGATTTTTAAGGTATTTTTTTGGCATAAATAATGTAAAAATGTAAAAAAAAGAAAAATAAATTTAATGAAAAAAAGATTTTATGAAAAATAGTTGAGTTTATTCGAGGAATTCCGCAATAAATTACGTTAAAAATAATGTAAGTTAGTTTCTAATTAATTTCAGATTAAATGATAAAGAGAGATTTATCCAATAGCAATAGGATTCTCATTGTGCATATTCATCAAACATGATATATTCGCTGTAAATGAGAATGGAACATCGATATAACGCAATTACAGATAAATATCAGAAAATATATTCATAAACTTATAAATTTAAATAAACTTGTTTGCTATTTTAATAAAATAATTTAAAATTTTTCTAAAAGAAAAGTAGTTGATGCTAATAGATGCAAAGAGAATGTGGAGATAAGGAGCATTCCAGATCTTTAATAATGGGAAATTATAAAAATTATAAAATAGTTAATATTAGAATTTAAAATTTGTTATATATAAAAGAATATTTAGAAATTTTCTGTTTTTCTATGTGGAAAAATAAAGCTACAGATTATTGAGCACACTATTAATAGGTCATTTCTTAAACATGGTGCATATAGCATAAAAAATTCTTATAGAGAATCAACAAGAAAGCACTACACGTGTTAGAAAGGTATAAAAGTATAATTTATTATGAATCATGTGAATCAATGATACATTATTCTATTTATTAAAATAATATGAAGTGAGATTTTCTAAACTAAATTTGAGAAAAGTAATTGGAATGTCATGTCTAAATTGTTTAATTAACTTAATAGCTAACTAGTTTTAGTTCTCATAAAGTAATATTTAAATAAATTAGGATGTATCCGAGAAACTATATAAAATTCGTAAAAAATGGTTGGAGGAATAAAAATAGTCATGTTTATAAAGTGATAAGAAACTTAATTATCTCTATTTATTCTTTAAAACTGCTTTAAAAGCTTTGGAAAACATTTTTGAAAGCTTTCATGAAGCTAAATGGAATTCATTATTAGACTGAAAGTTAAAGAAATTCGATTTAAATTAACATTATACTTTCTATAATTAATGCTAAATTTAAAGTGGCGAAAGTATAGTAAATTTTTAAAATTTATTTATAAAGTTTAATTTATAAATTAAGAATATTAAAAAGATTTTGTTCGATAATCATCTAGGTATCATGAGTTATTAAAGAGAAAGTTGCATTTTTGAAGTATGCTGTCTAAACTTTTCTCAATTTATGGCAATCAGGAGAATGTAATTTAAAATGATGAGAAGATAAACTTGTTGAAAAATATTATTTTCTTTATTTAAAATAATATAATTAATGTTTAGTTCAACTAGAGAAAGATTTGAGAAATGCAATCTATAGTATTAATGTTCGAAATGTTTACTAAGAAGGAAATGATATATTTTTATTCATAATATAATAGGATATTTACACTATAATTATAATAATTATCAAGTAAATTTCTCTATTTATAAACAAACTTTCAAATTATAATCACAAATGACTAATTAATAGGAATTCAGTACAATTCGAATTAAAAGTTTTCTTCCCCTGTAAATGCGCTTTCTCCTTTTGACGTTAAGTTCGAAGGTGAAGCCAACATTTAGCAAACTTTTATAAATTAATTTTTGAATAATATTTGTAGAGTTTATAAGAATATTATTTAATTAATGTATCAATATAATAATATTTAATTTACGTAATTCAATACATTTAACAAATATTTATCACATTTTATATTGTAAAATACATAAATAATTAGTAATTTCTATTGTTAAAATTGTATCAATTTATTAAATTAATACCAAAAGTAATGAAAGAATTTAATAAATAATTTAATAAAGATTCAAAATTAATTGTTATTATTAATATTATTATTTTTAAATAAACACTTAATTACTATTAAGTATTTAGTTATGTGAACAAGCTTTCCTATTATATAATGTAACATATAATCCATAGACTGTATCTAAATATAAATGTAATTAAATTTTAAAGCTTTTTAAAAAATAATTATTGTAATTTATTGGTATACTTTTATGTAAACAGCTTATTTAATTCGTAGTTAACATAGTGAATAGAATAAATTACGCTAAAACATATCTTCTAATATAATTTATTCTATTGAATATGTTAACTACACGTTAGTGAATAATTAACGAATGCTTTTAAAAATGATTCACTGATTGATTGTTTAGAAGTAAATATGTTAAATATTACATTCTTATATAAACAGCTTATTTATTTAATTTATAGTTTACATATTGAATGAAATACTTTATGCTGGAAGGTATTTTCTAGTGAGTGACATGGCATTTGTGTTTGCTGTATTTTCAGTACTTTCGTTACATCAACAGGAAGTGCCCGGAGCCCTCAAACGAAGTATACTCTCGCAATTCGCAACTCAAGAGAAACGAGTAGTGGTGTATTTTCCGTCCAGACCAATTTCAGACCTCCCTCTTAGCGTGCGATTGGAAGAGTTACTCACTCAGGTATATTGAGAATTTGCATATAATAGCCTTATACTATAGAAATCTTTATTTTATTCCGTGTATTTAGGCTTATAATATCATTAAAAATTACCCCAAAAATTATAAACATAAAAATCTATAAATGGCAGAATTATTCATATAACAGAATGTATAATTAATTCATTTTCTTTTAAATAAATCAAAACGTAATTGTTTTAAAGTAAATTGCAATTAAATGAATATAAATTTTATAAATATCTGTTTAAAATTCATATATTAATTAAATTTTTCACGAATAATAAATGACTTTAATTAAAATACGATAAGAATTCTTTCTAATTCGTATTATATTTTAATAATAATTTTAAGTAGAATACAGAGAATGGTTTA